TTAACATCCCAATGACCATCCGTCCAACAATCAGAGAGAATCAAGTTATTATTTAAACTTTGAGAAAGAAATATTACCATCACCAATAATCCAAAAATATAAACTTATTAGCAACCGAGCGAGCAGTAATGATGGCTTTCCAAATTTTAGAATCTCCCACTTTCCAATTAACAAAAGTCGGATTTATGCTACCACAATATTTATGATGCATGAAACGAGCCTATAAGGAGTTATTGGCACTGAATTTGAACCAAAGCTTGCACATATTAATCTCAGAGATTTGCCCGCAGTATAAGGTTTAGAAATTTTATCAGAAGTGGCCCAATGCTTTCTAGTATTAGTGCCAAACCATATAAAGCGGTTAAATAACTTCTCTAAAGTGTTTTGGGTACTCTTCTTAAGGTTCACAACTTGTAAAGCATAACATACTCATCAAGATACTTTATATATATATACTCAGAGTTTAAACACAATGAAAATAACTCATTTTATTTCAAAAAGAAACAAAATTAGTTTATTTTCATTGTATTTAAAGTCTGAGATTACCTTTTGAGTCATGATCTTCTTTCTGGCAACGCTTAAATAGTTCAACATAAACGACCAAAATAAAATTTTAAAACCCATTAAGTGATAAAGAAGCTTAATTTTAACTATTAGGAAAATTATCTACACTGTACAAAGTTTAATTTTATTCATATCAGTAAATCATAACGGTGACCCACTTATATTAACTTCAAATAGAAATTGGGAAATTTACATTCAAATTACATAATTTCTTTGTATTTATATATCGGGTACTTAAAGTTTAATATTTACATTTATAAGGCTTTGGTGTTATAAATCTATCCATGAAATGGTTTATTTCATTTTTAAAGCTTAAATAATGAGGGGTATATCTGATGTGGCATTAAGGATTTGAATGTTATGTATGTCAAGTATTGGGGTTAAATATCTAAATATATAAAATTTGAAAGTTATTGCGTGTGGATAGTTGATGCAAATTTGCGTCAGGTGTCCGATCTAGATCGTCAAAAAAATTTGAGGTACCACTTTAATAACAAAAAAAAACAAAACGGTATATTTCAGACCCAAATTGGACACCTGATGTAAATTTGAGTCAGGTGTCCGCACGCAATAATCACTCTTAAAAATGACTTTTTGGAGTTATATAGAGAAGTATTGCTTGAAATCTATTTCTGACAATTGTCAAAATAAAATCTATTCTTTCCCCCTTTTTAATTTAAACTTTTTTTTATTATTAAATAATGTGCAATGTGAAGCATCGGCGCATTCCTTCCAAAATGAAATTTCCTCCTTTATGATTGAAAAATGAAAGAAAATAATTTTTTGTTTTGAGAGAGAGAGAGAGAGAGAGAACAAAGTAAAATATTTAACAAGCACAGAATAAAAAATAAAAAATAAAAGTATGAAAATAAAAAAGAAACGGCTCTCATCCATCCCCAAATTCCCTTCCAGGACTAAAAGCTTTTCTCTGATATTGTCGTATGTCATTCTTGTCTCTCAGGTTCTCATATATATTCATATATTATATTGTCGCCAATTTGTTTTTTTATTTAATTATTTATTCTATTCTGTTTTATTCCTCATTTATGCATGTGAAATACCAATTTTTAATATTCTTTCTATTTTAATAATAAAACAAACCAATATTTTGGTGGTTCAAATTTTAAATTAATTATTTTTTATTTTTAACATAAGTTCATTTAAATTTGTTCATTATATTATTTATTATAAGAATATTATTTCAATACAATATATTTTATGTATGAAACTAAGGATTGTGTAATTGAGCTTAAATTATAATCTATGTGAAAATGGGATTTATCAGCAAAATTATAATATAACTTCTACGAATGGTAGAGGGTTTTTGTAAGTTTGTTCAAGATCTTAAATTATATTTTAATTCTTTTAACATGCTATGAAAATTTTTTTGTTAATCTTATTATTTACTAGTCATTTTTTATAGTAAAAGTAACTCACATTCATATATATTATGTTTATTTATAATCTAAAAACTTTTTAAAAAATAACTATTAATATATTCTATGTATGTGTGTGTGGTACCATCAAGTTTGATTAAAGATAAACAAATAAGAGTTTAAATTTATTTTGAATTTTATTAGTTAATTAATTAAAAATTTGATGAAAGAAAATAAGATGATTCTTGATACGCCACCAAATTCTTTTTATCATTTGGTTGGATCTTGAGGAGTGACTTAAATCTCGAGATAATTTTTTTATTAAGGAAAATATTCAAACTCACATTAAAGATCATCTAGAATTCTGATTTCAACAAACTTACAGTCAAACTACCAACTCAATAAGATGGAGTCAATGCCACCAGACTTGATCCAATCCAAGTCAGATCAAGCTTAGATGAATCCGTTAAACCACTTTTGAGAATTTTTAGTGGTTAATTGAATGGTAAAACATATTCTAAATCTAATAAGGTTATAACCAACTCGAGATGTCTCCACAAGAAAAATCTAGTGAGCCCAATATCACTTAGTTTTGACAGCGTAAAGACACGTAAATATTCACAAAATATTGTTTGATCGAGGGAATCTCTCAGAATCATCGAATGAAGTGGCCTTGATTTCTTCTCTTATCTTCAGGAAAGCATCTACTAGACTATATAAGTAGTCACCCCCTTCCAATCGTCTCCTCTCTCATGAAAAGAGAGCTAACACTCAAACCGAATGAATCCCATGCCTTGGAGGAGAAGGAACTGAGGTCTAGTGTTCCACAACAAAGGTCCAATGTATGCCACCCGCTCCTGCAACTATTGGTCGTCGTCAACAACTATTGATTTCTCTTGCTCATTACAAAGAAGCCCCTTGCGGAACAACAACATGCACTGCAGAATCTCGACTTACTTTGTCGAATAACAACCATCCTTGCAGAGTAGTGAGGTATCTTATGGAACAGCACACACCGAGGATGGTGTAATAACGCATCACAAAGACAGTGTAACATCGCTCCGAAGATGGTGCAATGCATACCATGCATACAGTGCAACAATGCACCTTGATGACGATGTAACGACACACCATGAAGACGACATAGCGACATACCTTGAAAATATTGTAACGATGCATCTTAAAGACGGTGCAGCGACGTGCCCCGAAGACGGTGCAGCGACACACCCCGAAGATGGTGCAGCAACACGTCATGATTACAATACAACGACACACATCGCATACGGTGCAATGATGCATCCCAATGACATTGTAACAACACAACCCACAATAATTGCTTACAATTGTCGCACTCAGAATACAATAACTTTCTCTCATGAAGCTCTCTCTCTCTTTGTGCAACCCACCAATACGGCCTACGTGACCAACTACAACCTACATGGTCCATAGCTTATGTAGCTCCCAATTCCGATCTTTGTGGCCTATGAATGTTATCGTAGCTCATACAACCTCCAACTTCGCCCTCTATGGCCTACATTTGTTATAGAATTCACGCATCTCCCAATTTTGGCCTCTGCAACTTAAAAATATTTTCACAACTTGACTCCCAAATCCTGACCACCGCGGCCTACGAACATTATCATAGCTCAAGCAACTCCTCTCTCTGGCCTTTGGGCCACCTTTGCAATCTTTTTTCGCTTTTGATGATTTTTCACATAAAGACTGCTTGTGAATTTTCAAGTAGCGCTAAGGCGTGTCGTCGTGAATCTTACGACCCATATCAATTATATGAAAAGGCAAAATTTGAACAGTGACATGCACAAATGCACCAAAATAAATGGAAATTTACATACATATACAACCCAATGTTTATGTATTTTCATTTCTAGTACCTAAAGTTTTATAAGAAGTTAGATTTGATTAGTGTGCATGTAAATATGAATCTTTGCGTATTAGATATGTAAATACATAAGAATTGTGTGGTATGTTTACTACTTATTTCATATAAAGGTGGATACTCAATCGAAATAATAATAATAAAAGCTCTAATTAATTACAATCACACATTTTTATTTAAATTTTGGTAAAGCTAAATTTTATTATCATTAGATTATTCAAAATAGTATAAAAGTATATCCTGTCTTGACCATTTGTTTCGTTTTCCAAGGGTATCTGCAATTTATATATTTACAACTGTAACACCTAAATTTTGCTTTTTATATTTATAATATTCAAATTTTTTATGTCGCATAGAAATATAACTATTATTAAATTATAAAAAATAAAACCTATTTTTTAGGATAGATGTAGAAAATAAAATTCTAAGTATTAGACATAAATAAGAAAATGTGTGGTATATATACAAATTTTTCATAAATAAAGTAATAAATAAGTAGTAGATAGATTTAAATAAAAACAATAACTTAAACCAAAGAATCAATCCATTTAAAAGTCATTTTTTTTGTTTATCCACTAGGGCTGTAAACGAGCCGAGCTCGAGCGAGCTCAGGCTAGGCTCATGTTCGGCTCGTTCGAAATAGCTCGTGTTCGAAATCAACTCGTGTTCGAAATTGGCTCGTGAACAGTGTGTTCGTGTTCGGCTCGATTTAAATATTCGTGTTCGGCTCGTGTTCGGCTCGAAATTGGCTTGTTAAACTAAATTGAGAAAAATAGATGTAAAGTGTGGGATTTGAACCTGAATCAAATATATACAAAAAAAACACTAATCACATTGCCACATGAGGTGTTATGATTTAAACTTAGACATAAATATATATATAATATTATTATATAAATAATATCTATAATATATTGTTATATAAAAAGTTATATAATTTTTTTTTCGAGACATTTCGAGCTAAAAAAATTGTTCGCGTTCGGCTCGTTAGGCTTAACGAACGAGCCAAACACGAACTGTTTAACGAAACACGAACTGTTCACGAACAACGACGAGCCAAATTGACAGCCCTATTCTCCACAGGCTAGCGGACTTAAACTAATTAAATAAAAATTATAATACTTCCTCCTTTCTGAATTACTATAAATAAATTGCCTCCGTAGATTTCGTAAGAAGTGAGAAAGTACTGAAGATGAAGGACCCGGCAGGGCAGCTCCTCGTACGCCTCGCGCTGGTGGTGACGGCGGTGGAAGCCTTTGCCGGAGCTGCCACCGCTGTTGGAGTTGGGGCAAAGTTCGCCGGAATTCAGCCTCTATCGAAGATTGCAATTCACGCGGCGTCGCTGGAGCTTGACAGTTCAGCCATCATCAAAGCTTCGCCCAGTGTGCTTGGCCTCCAGGTATGAGATCCATCATCCATCTATCTCTTGATGTTTTCAGATTCATGCATTTTTTGTGATATTTGTTTTGATTAACATATAAATACAAAAATTTATGCATCATGCATGTAAGTTTCTCTTTTGTCTTTGATGATTTAGTGTTAAGAGTCAGCGTATAAATAATAATATTTTTGTAAGGAGAAACGGTTGATCGTTTATTTTGTGTATGGCAGTGTAAAATTGATTATTTTATTTATAGATGAATCAGAAATTTCAATTTAAATTTAAGATAACTTAATGTTTATTCATCTAATTTAAAGCTAATTTTAGGATGTTAAAATTTCTTCAACTTATAGTTTGTTTGTGTAATCCTATAATCCCTTTTACTCGATGTATTCAACGTACTCTCCACAACTTGTTGCTTGTATACCACAATAATTAGGGATCTTCGGTGATATAGTAATTGGAAATTTTTTTGAATAGTTATCAATTACTATTTCAGACACTAGTCCATTATTTTATAAAACACTTATTGTTTCACATAATAATAAATTTAAAATCATTCCATATAAAAAATTATTTAAACAAAGAAAGACAGACGGCAAAAAAATTTGTCAAAGAATTGTCACAGTGGAAGATCTAAGCTTTTGATTTTGAGGGACAGAATGGAATAAGAATATATTTTTAAAATATTGATGAGCAGAAATTTATATAAATTTAATATTTAAAAACTTTGATTTCAGAATAAAGATACTGAATGGATAAATATAGAGCTTCAGAGTCCAAACCCCGCCTCTGATGATTGGGTTGGAGTGTTCTCGCCAGCTAAGTTCAAGTAATTCATCCTACTTAACAATTTCTCAATTTACTCCAAAATTATTTTTTCTTAAATTCCAATAAAAAAAACTTTATAGTTTATGTATTATTATATTTTGCAAGCGGAAATTCTATAATTATCATTGTTTTTTTCCTTTTATTTTATTATTATTACAGTGCATCTACTTGTCCAATTGAAGTCGGCAATAGTAGAGAAGAAGCTCCATTGATTTGTTCATCGCCAATCAAGGTTCAATAGTTTCATATCTTATCTGCAATTTTTAAATAATTATTATGTTAAGAATAGTGTTGAATTTAGCAATTTTTAAAATTTGCAGTACCAATTTGCAAATTATTCAAATTCTGAGTCTAAGTACACAAAGAATGGGAAGACAACTCTGAGATTCCTACTGATCAATCAGCGTTCTGATTTTTCATTTGCATTGTTCAGTGGTGGCCTTGCAAATGTTAGTATGTCATACATTCTTTATTTTATTTAATCGAGTCTCACCAAGAAGTAGTATATCTATTCTTTGGGATAGATGCATCGCTTTGGGTGTTGTGCTCGATCATTTAAACTATTGCAGATATGAGATCTGTTCAGTCTCGTAATTTCAAAATTAAAATACTACTTTTCTAAACTATATATATATATATATATTAAATATTTTGAATATCAAAGTGCATGTTTTAGTTGACTAAAGCATATGGGTGTAAACGAACCGAACACGAGCAAGCTTGGGCTCAACTCGTGTTTGGCTCGTTTATATTTCGAACAAAAAAAATTTGTTCGTGTTCAACTCATTTACTTAGCGAGCTGAACACGAGTTGTTCAAGAAGAAAGAACCGTTTTGACAACTCTAGTCACGTATGCAGCCGTTAGAGGTGTAAACGAGTCGAGCTTGAGCAAGCCCAGACCCGACTTGTTAAAAAATATCATTGTTCGTGTTTGACTCATTTATATAGAACTCAAAAAATTTATTCATGTTTGGCTTGTTTGTAGCTTATCAAGCTGAACACGAACTGTTTACGAACAATGAGTTATTTTGACAACCCTAGTCACACAGTTGTAGAATGTTTAGGGTAGGCAAGATTTAAATAGAATTTAATAAAGTTTTAATTTTATTTTTAATTAATAATTTTAATTGATTATAAATTTTTGTTGCCTTGTAGTCAATTAAATTATTTAAAAATAATACTCAGTAATTATATATATATATATATATATATATATATAATTTAATTATTTTGAGTCAAAACTAGCCAAACATGAACGAACAAAACTTTGTTCGTGTTTGGCTCGTTTATATATCGAGCACAAAAAAAATTGTTCGTGCTCGGCTAGTTTGCTTACCGAACGTATCAAACACGAGCTGTTTACAAACAACGAGCCGTTTTGACGGCCCTACTAAAACATATATATCATAAGAAATATTACGTATCTGAAATAATTTTTGATATTTTACATCAACTATTAAGGATAAAAACTATTGTCAACCAGTTAAAAATTTAAAAATTAGATGCAAGAGATGTTTTATGGGTGCCTTCATGGGCTCAAATAGAAAATATTCTGTCTAAAGAAATACCGAAATGTCAATCAAATCTTCATTTTTTTTCTTTTTTTATTTACTCTTCTCATTTACAAGATATAATTAATTATTCCTTTCAAGGAGTAATGCTTTGCTTTGTATTTTTCTGAATTGCAGCCAAAACTCATTGCAGTTTCAAATACTGTTTCATTTGCAAATCCAAAGGCACCACTCTATCCAAGGCTGGCACATGGAAAATTTTGGAATGAAGTATGATTGTTGATATCTAACAACTAAAATTCACTTTTTGACATTTATACCACCTAATTCTATGTATTTACATATCTATACCCTTAATTTTACTTTTAGATATATGCCACTCAAGTTTCATATCACAAAATATGCATCTGTTTAACTTTTAAAAAGTGAAATACACCTTTCCACGAGCAGGTAAGGCGATACATAGGTAAAAATTGAAGTGTAGTTGTTAGATCTTGTACAAGTAAATACTTAAGAATTAAGTTGTATATATGTAAATCTTCCATTTTACTTTCTACTTTCTATTTTTGCAACTTTTTTGTTAAGATTTATATTCATCTTCATATTGTCCTCATCTTCTTCTTTCATGTATCAGTACATTGGGTTCAACCATTGAGATCTAATATTCTACTCTCCTAACAACTATCAAATTTGATGATTCTATTGAGATTGTTTCTTTTGTTTTTGAGATTATTTCTTAGTCGAGCAAAATTTAAGATTGGTTTACTTTTCACAAAGGCTCCAAATGATTGTTTATGCTTTAATGATGATATTCTATTATTTCTTTTTCCTTTTATTTGAAAGATTAGTAATGATTGATATAAACGATTTTCACGTGATGAGAAGATTGCTAAGTCGCATATGAGAATGAAATAGTCTTATATCGAAATTAAAATAAAAGTTTTGCTTCTACTGTTGTAGCAGTGGCTCTTTAATTGTAGCATAGTTTTCTGATTACTTAGCGTTCATCCAAAGTTAAGCAAATAATGAAAACGGGTCTTAAGACTGCTTTAAGTGTGTAAATTTTAGTTCCAAACCATTCTAGTGTTCTATTGAATCCTGAAATTTATCAAATTCTACTTTGATCCGCCCCACATCTAACTTATCTTGAATCAACAAAAAATTATCTCGGTCGTTCTTAGCATATGCTAATTTTGACTTTTTATGCTGAGGAATTAAGGCTAAATAGCCTCCCAAACCACATCTACACAAGCATAGATACCATTAATACTCTCAACATTTGCTTCCCGCTACTCGCTTCCATCTATTGCACACTTGTTAGATTTCAAAATGACTAAAAAAATTTGGAAGATTTACATAAATACCACTCTATTCCGATGTTTTTGCATGTCTAATGCCTAAACTTCAATAATTACAAACATGCTACCTAACCTATGCATGAAAAGATGTTTCTCACATTTTAAAAGTTAAAATGGCACTATTTTTGAAGTGATATGAAAGATTTTGGTGTTGTAAAATGTAAAATATTTTAGCTGTTAAATATGTAAATACATAGGAATTGGCTGGTATTTATGTAAATGCCCCAACAACTTTTCTAGTTTGAAAAGTTGAGCACTAAACTAGACTAGAAAATAAGTCTAAAGTTAGAATAGATACATCTCAATAGTCTACGAAAATTGTAAGTGCATAAATCATTAAATTAAAAATAACAATACAATCTCACACTCAACCTCTCCTTTGGTTTTCTAGATGAGTATAACATGGACTAGTGGGTATAATATAGATGATGCCGTGCCCTTCGTTCAATGGGGTCCAAAGGGTGGCCTTCAGACAAGATCCCCAGCTGGAACATTAACATTCAGTCGCAACGACATGTGTGGTATGGTGTAATTATTTTTTCTCACTCCCTTTGATTTATGTAACAGAAAAAACACAAATATATACAATCTGTTTGGCTATATATGCAGGTTCTCCAGCAAGATCATTTGGATGGAGAAATCCTGGTTACATCCACACTAGTTTTCTGAAAGAATTATGGCCAAACACAATGTATAAATGATTGATTCTTTAAACTAAATGGATAATTATATATATATCTCATATTTTTAATAAATGTTAATTAGGATGCCTTTGATGTTTCAGGTATAGTTACAAGCTTGGCCATCAACTATTCAACGGAAGTTATGTATGGAGCAAGGTTTATTCATTCCAAGCGTCGCCTTATCCTGGGCAGGATTCTTTGCAACGTGTCATCATTTTCGGCGATATGGGAAAGGTTTGATTTAATTGTAGAGATTAAGGGTGTAAATAAGCTGAGTTAGAGAGAGCCTAACCATTGTTTTCAGCTCTATTTGTTGAGTAAATGGATCAAAATTTTATGTTTCTGCTTGGTTTATTTACTTATCAAATCATGAACCACTCTCGAATATAAATTCTATTTGAAAGCCATAATTATCGAATAAGTCTGTTGCTATGTATATTTTTATTTATACTTATAAATACATGTGTATGAACATAGGCACTCAGTTTATTTATCTAAACACATACAAGAATAATAATCTGATGCTTCAACCAAACACAATTCGGCAAGGCCATTTTCATAGTCAAGTGGTTGTAATTAACTCTAGAAGCTTGCCCCTTCAGAAAACACGGAATACTATAAACACTGCCGTACCCAATAGGGCAGAGAAAACACTTCTGGCAACATAGAGCCAATGACTTGATACCATCATTTTGTGATTAGATCTGTCATTGGGTAGTGTGTTTATCTTTTGAGGTGAAATATTATTTTGATGTCAAATCTGTCACAAAATGAATAACTTCCAAACGCCTGCATGGTCTACGTATTCCATCTCCAATAGAATGTAATCCATCTTTAGGAACGGACACTTTTTTAGAAAATGAACTTGTAAAAATAAACTGAAGTTTAGCTATATTTTCAGCTAAATATGACCGGATACGAACAATGAGTTTTTTTAACATTTTTCGCCGATCTTTTGCAGGCAGAGCGAGATGGTTCTAATGAGTTTAACAATTACCAGCCAGGCTCATTGAACACCACCGACCAACTAATCAATGATTTGAATAATATTGATATTGTCTTCCACATTGGAGATATAACATACGCAAATGGATATTTATCTCAGTGGGATCAGTTTACTTCACAAATAGAGCCCATAGCATCTACAGTTCCTTATATGATTGCAAGGTTTGTTTATAATTTTATGGTTTTTGTTTCATGACCTCAGAAATTACAAAATTTCATTAATGTTGATTTTATTGTGTTTTATTGCAGTGGTAATCATGAACGTGATTGGCCAAATACAGGTTCATTTTATAATAGCATGGATTCTGGAGGAGAGTGTGGTGTTTTGGCTGAAACCATGTTCTATGTTCCATCTGATAATAGAGCCAAGTTCTGGTATGTAAAATTGTTGAGATTTATATCATATTTTGAGGGTCTAATTATAAATAGAAAATATAGAAGAAGTCTAGGGGTTATTTGTAAAAAAATTATAAGACTCCATAGAAGCCCAACTCATGAATGATAGAAATATACTTTTTACCAAAGTAATCATTTCTTCATAGTATCAACGCCCTAGCATTGTCGTTGCGGTTCGATCGGAACTGAATGAGTCGGGATTGGCAATCTGGAGACTTGAGCGGCGTATGCAGGCTGGATCTCAGTTGCCTTGTCATGTTGACCGCATGCTAGTTGAGAAGGCAAGGACAAGATTGCGGCATGTGTTTTCGTTTATTTTTTCTCTTTTTTTATTTTAGAAGGGAGTCGCCAGCTTGTCGATCGTCGTATAATTCCCCCATTCGAATAAATCTCCCTCCCGAATCATATAAATGATTTGAGGAGGAGAGGAACCGAATAAGAAGGGACATACGACAAAGTCACAAACAAGAGAAAAAGTAAAACGTGGAGAGTCTACGTGCGATAAACCTCGCAAGGATATGTTAAGAATGTTTGCCCAAACAAGATCGGGCGGAGGCACCTTAAACCAATATCCGCGAAAGAAGTATCTACATAGACTACCCATAACCAGAGAGTCAGGTGTATGTACCTGTTCTGGGGTCAAGAGCACTCCCAGAGGAACGTGTTCCTACTGGTTAATTACATCTTGGGTGATACCCAAGAATACTCTCGATAAAAGGAATTTCGCTTCATATTATCATAGACCTGGGGAATAGGCAACCAAAGGAAGGTTATTCCGTGTGGGAACAGTCCCAATGCTTTAAAGCTCACGCTAAGTAATCGAGCAGAGAGTGAGTCTCTCACATCCCGAAATGGGTAGCGGCTCATCGGCACATGGGGCCCACG